TATGAATAGAAGCTACATTGATCCAATCAGCATCTTAGTTTCACATATTTTGATCCCAGATGTTTTGGCATCACCTGCTGGTCCTATATTAAAATAAGGGAAGAGTTTCTCAGTGAAAGTGTCTCTGTGAGTGTAAATGTGAGTCATGTCTTCAGAGTCATAGAAGGACACGTCCCCCATGTCATAGTCCAGCTGGACTCTGATCCTCTGGAGACTCTTCTTCAGTGTGAGAGTCTTACTAGCACCAGTAGTGTATTTTCCATGGCAATGCCATAACCACCAGCTTCTACTTTCTGGAGAAATATCTATTTCTCCCTTCCTGTTAACAGACTCTTTAACTAAACCAACAGTCCAGCGAGGATGATCTCCCACCTTCACATCCCAGCTGTGTTTCCCTGAGCTGAAGCCCTCAGAACCAAAAACATCAGCATAGTCGGTGTTTCTTTCTGGATTATCAGGAAGCTGCTGCTCTGTGTTTCCACGTCTCAAACTGGTCAGATCATCAGACAGATAGAGTTCAGGATGTGCAGTGTTTGTGAAACAAACAATGATATGATGAGCCCTAAAACCTGACTGAAACTCTTCAAACAGGTCATTATTATTTAGATCCTTACATTAGCGACTATTTTCTCAAGGATTTTAGATAATAAGGGAAGATTAGAACATTTGTTTGCTTGAAATTTAATTCTGTTTCTGATGTACTGTGTGAATTCCTATTTAAACAGTAAAGGCAATATTAATTACTTGGAGATATAAAATAATCAAAAGCACAATTTCTGGTTTGCTGGTAGAAGCATCGCTGCAAGCATCAGACTTTTCTTCTGTATGATATTATTCCTCTAGTTCTCTGATTCTTCAGATTATTGCTCTGTTCTCTTACATGCTACACATGTTTCTCTAACTTCAACAAAATGTGTTGCGGTGCTATAAATAAAATTAGTTTAAATAGACAGTTCAGTGTCTTTGTGGGTTGGTAGAGCCAACAAACTATGATGCTTACTACTTTCAAAATATGAAAAAGACGATCACATGGTTTTAGTTTACATGAACACCATAAGACAAATGTTACAAATGTTTATTAAATCTTTCCCTTCAATTAGTTAACTAAGCAGATATTCTTTAACAACCATACTAAGAGACAACAATACACAAAATTACAAATATACAGAATATATTTTTCTCTAAAAGGAAAAATACTAAAAATTAGACTTGACATTTTGAATACTATACAAGTATTCAAAATAGTATTTGAATATTATTTTTAAATATGATATTTGAATAACTAAAACAATAAACAGTCATATAGAAAAAAACTGTTTTTAAAAGCTTCATGAAGAAAACTAAATGTACACAGTTTGAAGAACAATCAGTATAAAAATATATAATATATATATAAAAATATATAAATACATTTAAAAAAATAATACCAGGTGAACTATTAGTGCATTGCATTCAGCTATTCTCCACAGTATGACATGCACTGGGTTGTATGTGTGATTGAAGTGAAATTATTTTTTGAAGTGCCTTGTGATGACATTTGTTGTGAATTAGCACCTTACAAATAAATTGAATTGAACAAGATCAAAAATAAAAACCACAGAAATCTTGCACCCATTAGCAGTCCAGTCATTTTTCCTTTGATCTAGTTTGACTTTGGTCAGCAAGTAAAGTCTTTCTGTCATGATTTACCAACACATTGTCAGTCAACACACCATTAAGGAAAGTTGCGAGTAGGATATCAAGACAGCAAAGGGAGCTAAATTGATTTATAATCACATTGAAGTTGTCATGGCTGAGTTGATGAAATTGAACTTTTTTCTCTTTATTTGTTATGTTTGGGCATAGCATTGGTGCGAGATTTGGTGGTGATAACCAAATTGTGAATATCTTTGTCCCTAAGCAAAGTAAAACAAGTTGAATACTAAATTAAATACATAAACAATTATATCTTTAAAGAGTTGCTGAATCATTAAGTTATGCTTTCCGAATCAAAAGTGTATTTAAATTGGCTGTATTTACTGGGTTATGTTAAGCTGTTGTTCTTAAATTATTCTTTTTTTTCTGTTTAAATCTGTAAATTAATCAGGATAATTTGTACAGGTTCGAAGGAGATTTATGATGATTTTTTTTATTTTAAATCCATCAACTTTAGTGTCAGCTTCAGTTTGGATTATTTTGTAATGTGCAGGGGTTTTTTTTTAAACAAAAATGCAGTTTTATGACTAAACTGCAGTATTTAAGTAGTAGTGTTGTATAACATAATTACACAATATTTAGTTATGGAGATTTATTTGATCTGTTGAGCTGAAAAATATTGACATTTGAAACAATCTTACTGACTGCACTAATTTCTGCATCAGTGTTTTTTTGTTATTTCTGTATTCATAACAAACAGCAGTAAGTGGTAAATTTAATGTAGCAACATTACAAAGACTAAGACTAATGTGAATAAAATCTTAGTTCACATATTTTGATCTCAGATGTTTTGGCATCACCTGCTGGTCCTATACTAAAGTACGGGAAGAGTTTCTCAGTGAAAGTGTCTCTATAAGTGCAGATGAGAGTCATGTCTTCATAGTCGTAGAAGGACACGTCTCCACTGTCATAGTCCAGCTGGACTCTGATCCTCTGGAGACTCTTCTTCAGTTTAAGAGTTTTGCCATTAATGCCACTGTATTTTCCATCACCATGCCATAAACACCAGATTCCATTTTTTGTTGAAGCATGCGTGTCTCCCTTCTTGTCAACAGATTCTTTAACCAAACCCACAATCCAGTCAGGATGATCTCCCACCTCCACTTCCCAGCTGTGTTTCCCTGAGCTGAAGCCTTCAGAACCAAAAACATCATGATATCTAGTGTTTCTCTCTGGATTAACAGGAAGCTGCTGCTTTGTGTCTCCATTCCTCACACAGCTCAGATCATCAGACAGATAGAGTTCAGGATGTGCAGTGTTTGGGTCCAGAATGACAGGACTGAACTTCACCTGGTCCTTCATCTTCTCCCAGACTCTGAAGGACAGGTTGCCCAGGTGTTTGGCCACATCTATCAGAGCTCCTGAGACCAGCTGTGGATCTGGCAGTGACCTCTGACCTCTGGCTCTGCTTTGAGTGGCTTCATAACTGCTGAGGAACGACATGTTATCTTTCTGCAGCTCTTCTTCAACAGCAGAGATGCTGTCTGATAGAGAGGAGATCTGCTGCTCAATCACCTTCATCTCTCTCATGATAGTCTTCCTCTTCTGTTCATCTTCCTCCCTCAGAGCTGCCAGTCTGGACTCCTCTTCCTCTCTCAGGAACTGGTGGAGCTTGTTGAACTCTGCTCTGATCTGTCTCTCTGTGGACAACACCTGCTTCTTGGAGTGTTGAATCACATCATCGTATGTTTTCTCCACTTGTTTGTGTTTGTTCCTCTTGTCCTGCAGAGACTTTAAGTCAGATTTCAGCTGCTCCTTCAGCTCACTGACTGCTTCTTCTATAGGAACCACTTTGTGACTCTGGTGGAGAGAAAACTCACAGACAGGACACACAGCTCTCTGCTCGTCTTTACAGAACCAATAAGGAACCTCTGAGTGTTTCTCACACACCACCTTCTCTTTCTTCTTCTCTCTTTCCATCTCAGTTGAGGCTCCTTTCTTTTTCTCACCAAACAAATCAGCGAGTTCTTTGAGGGAGAAGTTGATGGACGGATGCTCCTTTGATGATCGTTTACAGATGGGACAGTTCTTGTTTCCAGTTTGTTCCCAGAATTCCTCCAGGCAGTTTGAACAGAAACTGTGGTTGCAGCTCAGAGACACAGGATCTCTGAACGTCTCTGAACAAACATGGCAGCTCAGGTAACTTTCAAAAAGCGCGATTTTCTCCGCCATTTTAGCAAATTTCTCTGCTTAAGTCAGTCTTTCACTTAATTCTTCTTTAGAGATGAGAGACTTTCCTCACGCGGTGTTCTTGTCCCGCCAAATATTTAAGTTTTGTTTTCCTGTTCCGGATCGGGTTCTCTGAAAACTGCTGTTACATAACCTTGCCACCAGATGGAGCTAATGTCTTTCTCTTTGAATTAAATGAAAACTTATTTTTTACGTATTTTTAAAAATGTAAGTCTTTTTACTTCTCCATATCTTTCGTTTTAATCTGTGCCAGAGAATCCGAAAAATATATTTTAAATAATATTGCAAAACAATCATTGTGACATAATTTTTACCTAGTTGACTTTTGTGCAGATCTTCTCATTTACATACCTCAGCAGGTTGGAAGATTATAAGGAACATATGAGTAACTGAACAGATTGAACTGTCAGTAAAATTATGAAACATCATAACTTGAACTAGACCGCATTCTGGACAGGCAGTCAGACATATAATGCAGATGTTTAGGATCAGAGAGAAATCTAAAAGTTGCATGACATCAGCCCTCAAGGCCTGGAGTTAAAGATCTGCCATGTTACATTTAATCTGAAGCAAAGAATAACTTCTCAGCCATTTTCTTCAGAAAATCTTCCGAAAGTCTGAATAATCTATTTTTAGTTTGAATCACCAATACAGAACCAAATACCTGTCATGTGGTTGAAGTCGAGATCATAATCCAGTTAACTGAGTTTTGTTCCAAATCATAAACTTTGCAATGGTGTCTCTCATTTTAGAATGTTAAAAATAAAATTTTCAGGTATGGTGATTCCATTATATAAGAAAAGCATTTAAAAATCACATGTGAATAAGTTAATTCATGTGATAAATTAATTAAAAAACACGCCTTCTACAACTTCCTGTCATCTTTTTTGTCTATTCTGCCAGTTGTAACTTCCGGTTGTTGAGCAGTTGAGGAAAAAAAACACCTCACCTCAAACTTTTTATCAAACATTTTGAGCTTTTTTTTTTTTTTTTCCCAAAATTGGTTTGTTTCAATTACTGATATTAGATTTTTACAGGAACTGAGAGCACAACTGTTGGATAGTTCAGCCATCCTTTTGTTGAAGTGTACAGAAAATACAACCAATAAAACAGGGTTTTCAAAGCAGCCAAACATTTATCTTACATTAAATCTTTTAATGTTTAGTTAACGCATAAAAAACATAATGTTACAGATTGTTGGTGAAAATGTAAACAACTGAACAGGAAGATTTGCATTTTTCACAAAGTTTACAATAAACACATAACAATAATAATAAATAACTTCAGTGTAATTGTCTTGAGGCTCTCTGATTATGCCAGTTTCACCAGCCTCTCACTGGCCTCCCACAGTTTTTTTGCCACACCTGCGTCTCTTGCAAATGGACGCAAAGTGGCAGGCTGGCAGTCGACGAAGTAACCCCCGCTGTGCTTGGCAGCTTCGTCCGACACGGCGCAGTAGATGACGGTCTGAGCTCCGATCTCACACGGCACAGAAAACATCCACATGATCACCTGCATGAACATCCGGAACAGAAACGAGAAGTGGCACGTCCAGCCGCTCTGGACAAAACCTGGAAACAGAAAGAATCAGAAAACGTTTGAAACAGTTAAAAACATAATCAAATAATCAATTCAACAACCATCTTTAAGCAATTTTTCTGCAAACAAAACAAGAAACTAAGATGCATTTTTTTAAAGAATCTTCACAGAAATCACAACCAAAAATGGGCAAAAAATAAAAAAAACAGCTGCTTTTATCTAAGTGTAACATTGACACAAATATTAATTTGGAGAAATTAATGGAGGAACTAAGCATGTTTCTTCTTTCTACTAAGATACTAAAAAATGATCAAATGAAAAGTCTGGAGTTCTAGCAGACAGTAGCACTGTCACTAACTATCGACTTCTGTTAATCTACACGCTCAATTTATTTGACTAATGTATTTTTGTAAGTAATTTTGTTTGTTTTAATATTTTGCATTCAGTAAATAGAACCAGAGGTTAAAAAAATGGTAAGATTACCCCACACTGAAAAATATAAATTAAGTATGGGAAGAACATTTTAATGCGTAAATAATACTGAGGGCATTTAATCAGTGTTTTTCTGGAGTTGGCACTTTATACACAGAGGTTGTTCTTTATTCTGGCCTAATTCTTAGTTTACCTTTTATTTTTAGTATGTGATAAATGCAAACATTGGCTGGATGAAAGAAAACTAAAATGAACAAATTTTTGGAAGATATTTGTCTAAATGAACTAAATAATTAGTGGGAACCCTATAATCCAATCTTAGATTGGAGTAACAGGAAATAAAAAGCTCTTACCAGGATGCACGGCATAGGAAGTCACTCCTTTTCCCTCGGTGATGCGGGCCAGTTCCTGACTGAAGTAGATGTTGGCCAGCTTGCTGCGGCAGTAGGTGAAGAAAGGCAGCAGGTTGTAGTTGAGGTCCTGAAAGTCCAACTTCTGGTATTTGTAGCTGGAGCAAGTGAGAGTTATGACCCGGCTGGGGGCGCACTCCTTCAGCCGCGGCAGAAGCAGGTTTGTTAAGAGGAAGTGGCCCAGGTGGTTGACTCCAAAGCACATGCTGAAGCCGTCGTCTGTCCAGTCAAGGATGCCGGGCATGCCTGAGGAAGACCCAGTGGGGAAATGCATGACATGACATGACCTGGGCATGATGGAACATTGACCTGTTTTAATCGGATGTGTTTTATATCCAGGAAGCATGAACTTACCTGCGTTATTTACCAGAATGTGCAGACTCTTCTCCTTCTGCAGAAACTTCTTGCAAAAATCCCTAACAGAGCACAGGTTGGCCAGATCCAGCTCCATGTGGAAGACGTTAAAAGATCGACTCTGAAGTTTGATCTCTCTCACGGCCTCCTCAGCCTTTTCAGGGTCTCTGCAAGCAATGATGACACGGGCGCCTCTCATTGCTAGGGCAACAGCTGTCTCCTTGCCAGTACCAGAGTTACCTCCTACACCAAGAAAAAACATGTTTCCGTCGTTATTTCATCTGAAAAACTTTAAATTAGTAACAAAAATGAACTCTGCTGTTATTAGCAGCAGAAATTAGTGGGTAAAAGTGATAATGATTTAATTGCAAAGTTTACTGCAAAAACAGTAAAGATGAATAGCAGAAGCAATGTTTATTTACCTGTAATAAGAACAGTTTTACCATCAAGTCTTTTCAGCTCTGTGAAATATCTCCTCCTTTTCATCCATTTTAAAACTAAAAATACACTTAAAGAGGCAACAACTGTATAGAGAAGATACATTTTCCGATTAACTCGACAGTGATGGTACTACAAAGGTTAGCTTGTTAGCATGCTAACTGAATGACCGCCCTCAAATATGCCAACATTCCGGATCTTTTAGTTGTAACCGGACATAATTCAAACTAAGCTGAATAAAAAAAACGGACGTGTATTACTGTTAATCACAATACCATAAAGGCATCGATTTACAATCGTTTATTACAATCCATTTTTGGCTTATCAAATGATGAGCTCGTACGCTGAAGATCTCGCGAGAAGATCCGAGTCTTTGTTGACAATAGAAATTCCGGGTCCTCTACGAGATCCTGTCCGTTTGGCTCGATTTTTTCTGCTCTCAAATGGATCCGACTTAGTGTAACTTCTGTCAGCTATGTGAATTTTCTTCAGCCGCCTTAAAATTTATGTATTTTATTAATTCTGGCGAATAATGACTTTACAGTACAGGGTACAGCCAAGAAAATGTGATAAATCAATTAATGTAATTTCATAATTTTAGTTTGGGTTAAGATAAAGAATTACGTATGAAAGCATGAGACTTCCTTATGCTTGCAAACTTGTGTTATTAGTGTTTGTTTAATATGATAGACACAGCAAGGTGAAAAATTATGTTAAAATCTAACAATTTGGTTTGAGAGCTAGGTTGGTCACAAGTGACACAAAGCTGGAATTGAAATTGAAATGCTTTTGCAGCTGAACTAAAGTTAAAAGTGTGACAGCAATCACATGCATGCAAATCTCTGGAAATTTAAAGAATGTGTGTCGTGTCGGCACACAAAGAGGGAGCAAATCCTGCTTAAACACGGCTTAAAATTAACATCTGTTAAATCATTACTAGAACCTATTAACTTTGACTCATGTGATCTGGATTGTTTGTTACTTTGAAAGACCTTTGATACACTTTGCATCTCTGTTGGAGTCTCCTTCAAGGGTAGACTCAGTCAGCCATGAGTGTTTACTCAGTGTTCCCAAACCAAAACATGGGTTCACACATGAGAGAGCTCCTTTTTATCTGGACAATTCTGACTTTCTTCTCATCTAAAACATCAGGTATGTTATGCTATTTGTGAAAAATTGTCTGAAAGTATTTTTAATCAAGGATTTATCTTAAATGGATGCATAAATTCATGCTTTATCAAATCCGGTCTTCCTTTTCAAAAAGCGTTCTGATTATTCACATGTTTTGATCAGGTCTAACATGCAGCAGTATTTTGACAAACTGCTGTTCAGACTCCAACCAGTCCTGCTTCCAGGTCTCACCTTACTCCAGCTCCATGCTGGGAGGAAGAGCACTTCAGATCCTCGGTTTGACTCTTCCTCCTGATGGCCGACTTCTCTGCAGGTTTGAGACCATAAACACCAAAAATCACAATTGTGTGCACTCGTTATTGATAAGTATTCTGTTACATGTATCAGAGTTACAGGATCCTGTAAAATCATTGCAGACTAGTGATACATGAAGCCTTAAATTAAAGGATAGCATTTCAGTCAATCTGAGTTTAGTAATCAAAGGAGATTCTTGAAGAATGTTTAAATTTTTTTTAAAACATACATTTTTTAAGTGTAAAAAAAGCTGCATTTAGCTTCCTGTATATTTAACTTTTAAACATGAACTTAATTTACTGACATCTCGTTTGTGTAAATGATTGACTCTCATGCAAAAGCTGCATATTTTGAGGTGTTTTCTGTTTACAGATGGCAAACTTAGATGGAAATGGAACAAAAAGTGTTGCAACACCAGTCGACAGGTCAAATAAATCCAAGTTTGTCTGACTTTGTTGCAGATTCAAGGGTGAAATTGAACAACAGGGGATTATTGATGAGGAAGGTCATCCGTACTGCATATCTCCTCTGTTGTACGAGACGGGCTGGATATCGTTTGATGTCTCTACAGATGGTACAAATTTCAACAGATCAGGAGAGTATTTGTCAGGTAAAACAAAAAACCTATGAAGATTTTCTTGTTGATTTGCTTGTACCTCTTTTTATGTGGTCTTAAAAATCTGAATGTTTTGCAAGTGCTTTTTTTAATGCAATTATTTTTACAACTCGCCACTGGAAAAAGTAACTTGGGACTTGCAAAACTTTTGTGAGATCTTGCAAAAGTATTTCACGTTTCCTTTCCTCCTATGTCACTTGTGAGACACAGTGTTCTTCGTTGTATCTTTCTGGTTTTACAACGCTCAGAAGCAGAATGTCTGAAATCTTGGACAAAGTAAACTGGGATCTCATGAAACTTTTATAGGATCTTGCAGAAATGTACTTGCATTTTTGTTTCAATGTTCCTTGCCGAGTTTAGTATATTTTGCATCAATTTTCACAGTTTTATGAATCCTTTCCTACATATTATTAATGCTGTTGATGAAAATAAGCTGCACTTTGCTCCAGCAATATTAGCATGTTTTCTTTTTTGAATTTTTATTCACTAATTAACTCTGTTTTTCTGTGTCAGTCCATCCCAGTAAAGCAGATCCCTCATTTGAAGTCACCCTTGTGAATTCAACACTGTGGCAGAACTATGGCACTCCGAACATGGCCGGACAGCTGACGATGACCTGGAACAGCTCTTTAACCGAATCCAAAAGAGTCAATGTAGAGCTGTGGGGTTACAGAGAGGTCAGCAGGAGCACTGCAGGGTCGTCCTCTCTGCAGGCAGAGATTAGTTACCTCTACTCTCTCGGCAGGAATATTTCCAACACAGGTGACTTCAGCTTCTTTCCTCAACCCAGAGAAAAGTTTTCCATGTGGGAATTGGGGAATATTCGAATCACCGCCAGTTCTACATCAGAGGGAGAAAGGTATCCACAACACATCTCCAGCTTCTAGACAGTATTGTATTTGACAGGATGTGTATTTGTAAATGCTGTTAAATTTCACGTTTCATGTTTCTCCATGCTTTTTAGAAGGGTGAAGTAGAAAAGGCATTTAATTACTGGTCATTTACTGGAATAGGAAAATACTATGTTAACTATATTTAACTACTAAAGTAAGCTTGATAAACTTATTTCTGTGTAACAAATTAACTCAATTTTTTAAAGTTTGAGCTCCATTCTTTTTTTCAGTCTGAATTACAGGTTAAATAACTAGACTAATAAATATTAGTATATGCATTGCATAAATTCAGGAAAAGATCTTTACAGCATTTACCAATATTTCTCTACATGATCTAATATTTTATGGGATAAATATGAAATATGCCAGCATTTACTGGTTTCATTGTTGATATTTGATATTTTTGTTAGTTTTTAGTACAGGTGAGAATGTCACATATTCTCACATCATTATTAATAGAATGTGTTTTTTTTATCTGATAAAATACAAAAATCTATCCAATTAATTTCTGGTTTTCCAGAACCTTGAACTAAATGTTTAAACCATAGTTTGAACTGTTTTCTTAGAGGCTATTTTAAACTGATATTTCTTCCCAGGAATGTCCAGTCCCTGTGGAGTGGAGGCCATGTTCTGGCCTGGCACCTGGAGCAGTCCTTCAGAGACGATCCGTCAGCCTGGGCTCAGAGGAAGTGTCTGCAGTGGGACGACCTGGAGAGGAAGCTGCCTGACTTCCTGGACGAGCTCATCGACTGTCCCTGTTCACTGGCTCAGGCCCGCGCAGACACAGGAAGGTTTCATGTAGGTCTATGCACAACAATTTATGGAAGAGGATACATAAGAAAACTTTTATTTCTCAGAATTGAACTCAGAATTCTGTCATTTTTTCCTCTGAATTTTGTTTTTAATTTCAGAATTTTTATGTTAATTCCAGGATTTTTACTTTTTTTCCTCAAAATGCTGACTTTAATCTCAGAATATTTTTTTCCCGAAAATTCTGACTTTTTTGGTCAGAATTTAACCTCGATATTTTTAGATAAAAGACAGAATTATAAGAAAAATGTCAGATTTATTTCCCCCCCCCAGCAGTCCGAATCCTCTTCCATAGCAATAAAATGTGATTATTTTGTCTAATCAAAACAATTTAGCTACATTTTATTTATCTTGATAGCTTTGCTTTGAATACATAAAGACATTCAAGTTATTTTTTACAATTTCAATGTTTTTTTTTTTATGTCAGACTGATTACAGCTGTAACATTGAGACGGGCAGTGTTTGTACATACCACCCTGGTAGTGTCCACTGTGTCAGAGCCGTTCAGGCCAGGTAGGAGACGCAAAGAAAAAAAAATCATAGAATAACCTTTAAATCTGAGAAACACCAATGTCTCCTTAAATTTGCAGTTCAAGTCACGGATCAGGGCAGCAGTGTTGCTATGACAACACAGGTGCTCTGGTCCTGACGGGGGACTCGGTTGGCGGCAGCACCCCGGACCGTGCTCATGACTGGGGCTCCCCGCCGTACGGGGAGCCCCCTCGGGTTCCTGGGTTCTCCCACTGGCTTCACGACGTGACGAGCTTCTGCTACTGCTGCCTGTGGAGCGACCTCTGCCACGTCTACCTGAACCGTCGGCCTTCCAGTGGATGTCGCAGATACCAGCCACCCAAAGCAGGTTGAACCTTCAGTAAATCAGAAGTGCATGGCGGTTTATGTGAAAAAACTAATTCCTGAGGGTTAGTTTTTAAATAAAAAGCCAGAAAAGCCGGTTTTCTCACTGTCAGTCAGCTGGCTAAAAAACAGGAAGCTGAACATTTTTCTTTCTCACAAGAAAGTCAAACTTAGCTGTTATTATTGTAACTTTAACCTATGCTCTGGTATTGTTGCAGCAGTCGGAAAAAGTGCTGTTTCTCTTTTAAATGAAAGTGATTGCATCATGTTATAAATCATTGTTTAAATTTTTTGTTCTGTGGTATTTGCTCTCACAGTCATCACAGAATGGCTCAATGTCAGAGAACAGTGACTTTTTACTTCACAATGAGCTTTAATCCTTTTGCTCATCAACTTTTTCTTCAATTTGACTTTTTATTTTGTTTTAATCTTGTTGCAGTTTTTATTTTGGCTTCTGAGTCTTATATTCTCATTAACCGGTTAATCACAGTCAGACTGATTCTGCTTTTATCCAAACATTTTCTTCAACAGGACATAAGAGGAGCGGGTAAACCCAGATCAGTGTGGAGGAGTAAATGAGTTACAGATTTCAACGCTGAGCCAATAAGTGGAAAATATATCACACAACGCAAGCTGGAGATAGGGAGGGGAGAATTATTTGTGCCAAATTGTCACTATAAGCTTATCAGTATTGATTTCTTGCTGTCTTGCAGGTGTTGTCTTCGGAAATCTGCATTTTATAACATTTGACGGCCTCAGCTACACCTTCAACGGCAGAGGAGA